TGTCCAGTTTGGAGAGAAGGAGGCTACAGAGGACCAGATCGATGACATCGGTGGCTCTTGCCTTGCCCACTGATGCAGTTACATCATCATAAAACACAACAAATTTGGTGAAGTAGCACCTGCCCTTAGTGAAGCCGTGCAGGTTGTCCCATATCACTTCCTTCTCTTCCATGTGCCTTCGCATAGCTTCCGGGAGGCTCTGCCTCATGACCTTCCCAACACAGAAGTGAGGCTGTCAGGTCAGTAGTTCCCTGGGTCATCCCTTCTTCCTTTCACATCATCATAGATTCATAGAAACATAGGATCTTGGAATCATAGAATGGCTTTGGTTGGAAAGGAACTCAAAGACCATCTAGTAGCACCCCCGCTACCATGGGCAGGGTCGTCAGCCACTGAATCAGACTGCCCAGGAACCTGTCCAACCCAGCACTGAACGCCTCCAGGGATGGGGCACGCACAACCTCCCTGGGCAGCTTGTTCCAGTGCCTCAGCACCCTGTGAGTGAAGAATTCCTTCCTAACAATTCACCTAAACCTCTCCTCCCTCAGTTTAAATCCATTCCCCCTTATCCTGTGACTGCCTACTTGTGTGAAAAGTCAGCCCCCTTCCTGCTTGTGAGCTCCTTCCCCTCTTACAGATGGTGCAGCATTGCCTTTTTTCCAGCCACCAGTGTCTTCGCCAGAACTTCACAAACATCTCCACTGAGAGTGGCTTGGCCACTTTCCTCCTTTGGACTCGGCTGCTAGTGGTGTGGCTGAGCATCCTATTTCTGCAGCTGACTTCATGTCTCTCAGCTCATTTCTGCCCTCTCCCTCTTGGTGCTGCCATCTTCCCCAGACTGACCTCCTGTGAAATGATGCAGCCCAAGAAAGTAGAAAAAAAAACACAATTAAATCTGTATTTCGTACGGGAAATGTGTCTTTGAAACTGTGAAGCATGAGGATGAAGGGAGGTGGCTGCAGCCACCTTGGGGAGCCGACCCTCCTTGGGGACACAGCCCTTCCTGGGGACCCAGCACTCCTTGGAGACTCCACGCAGTGGGGAGAAGAGGCAGCAGGGATACTCACAGGCCACCATTACTTCCCCTGCCCTCCAGCACTGCCACCTGCAGCAGAAAGAAGTCTGGGCCCACATCTCTCCCTGCTGGAGCGTGAAACAGCACAGCAGTGTGCCTACTGTGGTGACAATGGGGACTGTAAGCAGGCAGGGACCCCAGAGACAGGTGATGGGTGAGACCATGACCGAGCAGGTCATCCATACCAGGCTGGGGACGCGGTGTGTGCTGTCCCCACTTAGAGCCTGCTGGAGCTTGGTTCTCAGCACCAAAACACACTTCTGTGGTGGAAATCTGGATGGGAGGGGTGGTGGCACAAGCTGTGGCTGGACGCGGTCACTCCCAGGGCTCTGCCCGGCTCTGGTCCCATCTGACACAGACCTGTAAGATGGCGCGGGGTGCAAGGGGCCCACTGGGATCGGCTCCTTGTTCTGTACAGGATAACCAAGGAGTTGGGTCCTGTACCAAACCGCTATCTTCAGGAGGCATCAGGAATTTCCTGAACTCCGTGTGATGGTCCCAGCGAACGTCTGGGAGGTTGCAGGCACCCATAAAGACACGGGAATCTCCAGGTATTATTTGGGATGTTATTTTTTATTGCGATTATGTGACATACTATTACATGGGATGCTACTATTTGGATATAGATTGAGTAGTATAAGAAGGATTAAATTTTTCGTTCTAATTACTTAAGATACCATTACCTTGGCTACTATTATTTGGCTATAGATATTAGCAGTACAAGAAGTTGCTGAAAAGAATTGTTGTACCCAGATAAGCACTATTATTAACAAGTAATTCTATTTTCAACGCCTTCAGAACGGTCATCTTTTGAGAGAAGCAGACATGTGGAAAGATGAATGATGAGAACAAGTCTCCTCTGGAGTTCTGTGCTGTGCAATGAGACTCTGGAATCCTCTGAGATGATCTTGCTGAGCTTTGCCTGGGAGAGTTGGGAGATAGCACCCAAAGCCTCCAAACCTTCTTGGTGAACACAATCGTTCTGGGGGACCTGAACAACTGCTGAGGATGCAGCCCTCCTTGGAAACCCAAATCTGGTGGGAGCTGAACCCTCACTGGGGAACCCAACCATTCTTGGGGACTGGACCATCAGTGGGGAAAACAGCCCTCTTTTGGGAACCCAACACTTCCAAGGATCCTGCTTGCCTTGTGGAACCCAGACCTCTTGGGGACCGAACCCTCACGGGGGAACTCAACCCTCCTCGGGCATCCAGGTCCCCTGGTGACCCAACCCTCTTCTGGGAACCCAGATCTTTTGGGGCCATAACCCTTCTTGGGGACTCAAGCACACGGGGCGCAGTGACACCAAATGTACTCACAATCAAACTTTCAAGTTCCTCTTCAAGGCTCTTTTGCTGCAGGAAAAGAATATCTTTTGTCCTGGGACTTGTGTGGCCCCACTGCAAATGCCCCATCCTGGTTCCATACTTACAGACTGAAAGCTGAAATCCCCCAGATCCAGCAGATAGAGAGCAAAGTTGATGCAGTTGTTCTCGAATAAATTGTACTTGGCTGTGCTGTTCATCAGCTCCTTGACTTTTCTGTTGAAGGTCTCAGGGTTGATCCCGTCCTTTTTCCTGAGAACCTTGCCTTTCCCCCTCTTCTGCCTCATCAGCTGGAATCCTTCCTTCCTTATTAGCCCAGCACTTGAATTGTTGATATCTGAAAAGTGAAGAGTTGGCCATCACCCTGTCGCTCTGTGGGCTGCCATGTCATGAAGGCAGGGCACGTGCACTTACTGTGGAAGTGGATGACCTCCCCGTCCCCACAGTAGACAACCGCGTGCTTGAAGCTGAACGCAGCATTGCTGCTGGACTGCATGTTGAAAAGCACTATGTCCCCAGCCTCAATGCTGTTCTCTGATACTTCCACAAGGATGTTCTTATAATTAGGAAGGACATCTCGTAGGAGGAAATCTCTCGTCTCTCTTGCTTTCTCCTTGGGAGAGAATGGTGAGAATCAGCTTCAACACAGAAGCAGCCACATCACCCCAAAACTCTGGGGCAGCACACGGAGAGCAGGGGAGAACGGTGATTCAAAGCCCTTCTACTCACCGAACAACAGCTGCTTGAGCTTCCCATCTGCAAGGAGAGAAAGGAAATGTCAGCACAAGCACAGCCATCTTACCTCACTGGAAGTCTCCTGTCCCCCCTGCTCTCCTGATGCTGGTCCGTCCCCCGCGTGGGGCTGGCAGCGTCCTTACAGTGCTGTGCTGGTGGGCAGAGGTGTGGGCAGGCAGCGTGGTGCTGGGGCCGGCACACGCAGCGCTCTGCTCCGTGCAGACACGAGTGGTGAGCGGGACGCTGCTTGGTCAAGTGAAACCAAAAGCAAAAGGAGGCAGGAAAATCCCAAACGGCTTTCTTTTTCTGCTCCTCAGAGTGTTAGTTTTAATTTCCTCTGGTTAGTATCAGTGCTAACAAGTAGCTTTTTTCTGCAGATAACTCCGGGTGTTTTCATCTTTGGCAGATAAGGGAAAGTTGTGGGGTTTTGGCCGGGCACTGATTTCAAACATTCAATCAGGCTACAAAGCAGTGCAAATAGGAAGGCACAGGTGAACTAACTCTGTGCTATGGGCAGGTCAGCTGAAGGTCAGGGAAGAGTTCTGCGCTGGAGTGTGGTGCCATGGAACATGCTGCAGTGGGCACAGCAACAAGACTAAAGTTCAAGAAGTGTTTGAACAGTGCTGTCACGTGTGAGGTTTGATTTTGTGCGTTCCTGCGCGGAGCTGAGCGTTGGATTTGATGATCCCCGAGGATCCCTTCCAACTCAGGACTTTCAGGATCAGGCTGGGGAGCTCTGAACACCTTTTGAAGCTGTGAGTGTCACTGTTCATTGCACAGTGGTTGTGCACACAGATGGCCTTCAGGAATCCCTTTTGTAGAGTCTGTCCCAAGGATAACCTCATAAAGAAGGGGAGAAGAAGAGTGGCTGGAAGCTGTGCAGGGGAAGAGGATTTGGGGTTGTTAGTCAACAGCCAGCCACATGAACATGAGCCAGCGGGGTGCCCAAGGGAGCAAGAAGGCCAATGGCATCCTGGTTTGTGTCAGGAGGTGATCATCCCTCTTAACTCAGCACTGGTGAGGCAGCATCTCCAGTGCCGTGTTCAGTGTCGGGTCCCTCACTGCAAACCTGACATTGAGGGTCTGCAGCATGTCCAGGGAAGGGCAATGGAGCAGTGAGGGGTCTGGAGCACAAGTGTTATGGGGAGAGGCTGAGGAAGATGGATGGGTCAGTTGTGCGTCCTGTGGTTGACGCTCTGTTCTGGTGTCATATGAAGCTGATGCATTCCACTCGGTTCTTCTTTGTACCAGGATCCGTTCAATTTTCTTACACATACATGAAGTTAGCTTATGTAAGTGTACATCTTTGGAATGAAAGGAGCACGCCTTTAACAGGAATGAGAACAGATTCATTGCGTGTGAATTATTCTTTCTGTCATTGTTTTGTAGCTGTTATTTAACACATGACAGCCGCTTTGTTCTGTTGAAGAAGGCTGTGTAGAGGGCACTGGTTGTGGTGGTGTACAGTAAGAAAAGAAAGTGACAAGGTCCAATTTTTGCTAAATTTTAATAATTCTGCTAAATGCTTTATATAGTGTACATGGATTTTCCAACTGGATGTGGGATACACGTGGGAGATGAAAACATCTCTGATATTAGGGAATATATTTACCCTGTATGTAACCCTTATTGCCAGTAAGATACAGATATATACTCTGCATCTTGTGCTAAATAGTTTAATGGCATACAAAAAAACCCAAACAAACGACTACACAAACATTCAGCCAATTGTTTGGTGTCATTTCATTTTAATTTAACCCAAGGGAACTTCGACACCCCAATGACCCTCATCCACTTGGGTGGTGACAGCCCCACATTCTTATTCCCAAATCCTTTATCTTGTATCCTTCATCCCACAGGTAGCCCAGGAAGGGTGCTCCAGACCTACGTGCTCCCCAGGTCACATCACCACCTCCTTCACTGCAGTGCTGGGAACGTCTAGGAGAGAAAACAGCTCTGGTCGAGGCGAGTATCATAATCCCCCCACACCTGAGGGCAAAGAAACTCACCATGTCCCCAGTGAGCTGGCCCAGCCCCAACAGGGCAAGGGCAAAGTGGATGCAGTTACAGGTGACAGCATCATAGTCCAGCACCATGTCCATGGCTGCCCGGATCCGCCACTGCAGGGCAGCCGCATCCAGTCCCCCCTTCATCCGCAGCACCTTGGCGGGGCCTCGTGTCCTCAGGAGGTGGCTCTTACCGTGCTTGGCCACAATCCCTGTTGGGGATGTTCCTGAGGTGCCTGTGGTGTAGAGGAGATGGCATTCAATGAAGGTTGAGGGTGAGAAGGAGGAGCTGGGTCCCCAAATAGGGTAGAGGTGTCCAAATAGGTTTGAAGTGTTCAAGGAGTGTTGGGGTCATCAAGAAGGTTAGGGAGTTGGAATCACCGGAAGTGTTGGGTCCCCAAATAGGGTTGAGGTGCCCAAAAAGAGTTGGGGTCATCCCTTGATGAGTTCCCAGTAACCTGGGGTATTTGTTTCCCGAATTGAGTTGAGATCCCCAAGGAAGACAGGTTATCAAGGAGGTTTGGGGGTGACTTGAGGTGTTGGATCCCCAAATAGGGTCAGGGTGCCCAAGGAGCGTTGTGGTCCCCAAGCATGAGCTGCTTTGCCTCATGTCCCCTGTGTGGAGTTTCCTCCCACTGCTCACCTTCCAGGTGGATGATCTCCCCATCACCGCAATAGACACCAGCGTGGGCACCCCACCAGCCGGGTCCCCTCGATGCCAGTGGGAAGAGGAAGAGGTCCCCAGGCTGGGGCTCAGCCGCCCCGTTGGGCACCACATCAAAGTGCCGACCCAGCAGCCCCTCACAGAGGAAGAATGCCGCTGTGCTTGCCGCTCCTGCCACTGCCTGGGGACACCACCACATGTCACCTCCAGCCAGGTGCCACCCCACAGGTTTGTGCCTGTCCTGCAGAGGTTTGGATCTCCATGGACCAGGGAAGAGATCTGGGAGGTCATCTCCAATCAACTCAGGTGGACAGCTTGAGTCCAGAGCAACCATGGGCACTGAGCAAAAGCAGGTTTGCCCTATAGGTGGTAGGATGGGTAGTGTGAGGTGCAGCTGTGGATGCTGGCACTTACCTGCTTGGAGCTGCTCACCTGGAAGGACAAACACCCATTGGTCACGCTGGTGGAACTGGGACCCACCTCACCCCAGGCCCCAGCTGCAGACAATTTTGGGGCAGCGTCACCAAGGTGTGTCCCTTGGTGTCACCTGTGCTGCCTTGATCTGTTCCATCCAAACCTGCCACAGCCAGGAGCGCAGCCAGTACCGGAGCTGGAGGAATGGTTGGACCTTGTCCTGCAGGGTCAGCAGCAAGGAGCTCACCTGGGGGTCAGTGAAGCCAGAACCAGCCTGGTGGCACCCACACCTGCTGTCACCCACCCTGGTGGCACCCACTTCACCCCCAACACCCTCTCCATTCACCCACGTCCCCTTTCCCTCACACTCAGCACAAAAAATGCAGGTGCCACGACCCCAGGGTGGAAAAAGAGGAAGGGGGTAGGATGGCCTCCCTGGTGGCTCCCCAGCTACCTGCTCCAGGAGGTCCATCTGGAAGGAAAGACATGGCATCCACAGAGCTGTGCCACCCTGGCTTGGGGATCTCGGTGTCCCCAAGTCCTTGGCAGGATCACATCACCAAACACCAAGCTATGGCCTCAGTCACCACACTATCCCTGAGGACATGCCTGAGCACTCCACCCTCACCTTAGAGACTCCTTCAATGTCCCCTTGTTGTGCTGTGATCCCCAGGCTGCAGGACCCCAAGTCGCTGGCAGTGCCAGCACCCAGGAATGTGCCCAGACTGTCCTGACCGGCCCCACCGCTGCCACTGAGCCCGCCCTGTCCAGGTGACATGGGGCCCTCCCAGGGGGAACAGTCTCCACCTGCTGGGACATTTCCTCCAGTAACCCCTTGATGACAAAAAGGTTGTCACAAAGCGCACAATGGACCTGAGCCTGTGACCACCAGGATGGTGCCACCTCCGCTATCACAGGGCTGTGCCTCTGGAACGGCCACCGGGATGTCCCCGGGAAGATGCTTGCCCTTGAGGGTGGGTTTCATGGCCAGGTCAGCCCTGGAGCCCCATTAAAGTTTCATCTGGGGTCAGCAGAGGCTTTGGCAGGGCATGGAGCAGGTGACCTGGGAGCTGTCACCACCCGCTGCCCGCAGCCACTCGGCATCATTTGTCACAGCGGGAACACAAAGGGAAAAAGAGCTCTGGTAAAGGAGAGCTGATGACGGATGAAACCAGAGCCAGGCCCTGACATGGCTGAGCGCCAGTGGTGGTGTTAACCCATTGCAGTCACCTCTGGTGCCAGCAGGGGCTGCCTGAAGTCCCACATTGCTCTTGTTTCCTTCCAGAGCCTTGTATCTCCTGGTTGCTTTTGTCCTCTCTTGATCCCCTTCACCAACTCCTGATCCTCATCATCCCATTGTGGTCCCCACCATCCTCTCATCATCCCTACCATCCCTATTGCACCTCACTGCTCCCTCCCGATCCTTGTTACCTTCCTAATTCCCATTGCATCCTCCTGGTCCCTGCTGTTACCTCCTGGTCCCCACCGATCTTTTTTGGGCTCTGTCATCTTCTCCTGGTCATTATCAGATCATCTCCCTATCCTATGGTCCCATTCCAGTCCCCATCAAACCTTTCTGGTCCCCATCACTCCCTCCTGATGCTTGTCCCCTATTGGTCTCTGCCATATTCTCCCAGTCCCCACAGCACCTTCCTGGTGCCTTCCACTCCCTCCTGGTCCCCAGTGGGACCTCCTGGGCTCCAATGTCTCCTTGTGATCCCCATTACGCTCTCCTGATCTTTGTTGTCATCTCCTAGTTGCCCCAACCAGTTCCCAAACTCCACCCTCCCCACCTGGTCCCCTCCTGGTTCCTACAACCTTCTTGTCCCCAGCCATGCTGTCCCCTGACTGCAGCACATCCATTTGCTCCCTGTGGCTGGTGGGATTAGTGCAGCCAGAACCCAACGACGGGTCTCAAGACTGCCAGCAGCATCTTGGGGTAATTAGTAAATTAGTAATTAAATGCTGGGAAGGAGGGAGGGAGCCGATCCCAAGGTTTTAGGCTGGGTAATCCCAAGCATCTGTCACAGAGCTGGGTCACGGGCTTTAACGTTTGCTCCTTCATATGGGGACCTTGGTGCTGAGCCCCTCAGCAGTGGCATTGGGCGCTGTCTGGTCCCCAGTGTGCTCGAGTGCCCCTTTGGGCTGCTGGCAGAGACGCAGCGTTGGGGGCACCTCTGGATGTTCCACTGGGGCCACGTGGCCGGGTGCAAGAGCAAAATGGGGTGGGAACAATATTTTTGTAATTATTGGATTTCCTTGGCACAATGATTATTGGCTGGTGGCAGATGGCTGCTGGGGCTAATCCCCTTCCCAAATCCCAGCTCCAGAGCTGGCTTTTTACCAGCGGTGTGGAGGGAAACATGGCTGGGTGGCAAATTAGCCGAGTCAGTGCTCATCACCATCCCTGGGGGCCAAAAGCCACCGCGTCCCATTACCGTGGGGTATCCAGTGTCTGCCCCATGGACAGTGGCCAAGGAGACCTGTGGGTATGCAGGGTACCCAGTTCCCACTGCATCAGCCCGGCACCTTTGTGGTGTTGCTTGTGGCAGGAACAAGATGGAGCCATGGACTGGGACACGGGAATGAGATGCTGGGATGGAGGATGCTGCTGATGGAGTGGAAGGATGCTGCATTTGGGATGGGGTGATGGTGGCAGTGGGATGGAGGATGCTGCAGTTGAGATGGGCTGATGCTGCATGTAGAGGTGATGGAGTGAAGCTGCAGGTGAGGACGGAGATGGATGGAGCCTCATCCCCTATATCCCCCCGTGTCACCACCTCTGGTCCCCAGCAGAACCCTTGCGATAGATCCACCCCAACCTCAGCCTCAAGACTCCATCCCCCTCCCTGTCCCTGTCTCCACTGGCCTCACAGCCCACCCCGGATGGCCGCGGGGGGGTTTAGTGCCTAAAGCCCTCAAATCTCAAATTGTGCTGCCCTGTCACAGCGAGGGTTTAGCCTTCGTTGTGTAACCCTTGGGCCACCTGGCCCCATGCTGCTGCGTCAGCAGCCACGGCCCAAAGCCCCCAAAGGGACACTGAGGCTGCTGGCCCCAGGGGGACACACGATACCCCTGACCCAGCACTAATCCTCTTTGGGGGACCCCCATCAATTATCCCTCTCAATTGGAGCTTGTAATTAATTGCCTGGGGACAGGGAAGGGGGGCTTGTGCCGTCCCCCCACCCCGTAATTACCACTTTTCGTTATTCCTCTCTAAACTCCTTAACAAGGGGCTTATGTGCTTACAGGGCCTGGTGGGCGCAGCACAGGGGGACATAGGGGTCACCCCTGCACCCCAACACTCCTCCACAATCCCAGCCCTCCGCTTCCCAGGGCCAGCGTGTCTGTGACCCCCTTGTCCCCACTGCGGGTGGCTTTGGTGGCTTTGGTGGCTTTGGTGTCGCAGGGTTTAGGGTTACAGGGAGGCAGCCATGCCGGGGCTCAGCACCTTTTTAATTCTTCATCGCGTGGCTGATTGATCCCCCCCCGCACAGACACTAAAGATTAAGACGGTGACAAACAGGCGGCTGCTTACACAGCGCCCGCGCTAATCTGCCTTGAAGAGAGCACAGCCACAGCCCCATCCTGCAGAGCGGGGACAGGGACAGCCCGGCATGGCTGCGTCGCCGGAGGGGTCGGTGGTGAGCGCCGGGCTGGAGGACAGCCCCTCGGGTAAGAGCCGCATCCTGCTGCACAGGTCTGTCCCCAGCGGGTCCTTCTGCGGGATGCTCGCATCCCCACCGGTGTCCTTCTTCAGGAATCCGTGGGGTCCAAACGTGGTCCTTTGGGATGCTCGGGGTCTTCCATTGCGGTCCTTCTCTGGGATGCTCAGGGTCCTCCATCGTGGTCTTTCTCAGGAATTCCCAGGGTCCCCCATCGTGAGCTGTCTCCAAGATATTTGGATCCTTATCACAGTTGTTTCCTAGTATGTTTGGGGTCCCTCATCACGGTTCTCCTCTAGAATATTTGGAGTCCCCATCATGGCTCTTCTCCAGGATATCTTGGGTCCCTACTACAGTCCTTCTCTAGGATGCTCTTAGTCACGGTCCTTCTCTGAGATCCTTGGGAATTCTCACTGTGGCTCTTTTCCAGGATGCATGGCTTCTCCATCATCATCTTCTTCCCCAGGATATTTGGGGTTGCCATTGTACACCTTCTCCAGGATGCTTAGTGTCCACCACCTCCTTCCTTCTGCAGGATGCTTAGAGTCCCCCTCATCCAAGACACACGGGTTTCCCAGCCATGACCCCTCCCCATGGTGCCCATGGTCCTCATTGCGGACATTTTCCACCATGCCTGGGGACCCCCATCAGCATCCTTCTCCTGGCTACTTGGGGTCTCCAGCTCTGCTCCTTCTCTGTGATGCCTACAGACCCTCTTCTAGATGTCTATGGTCTCTGCTCTTCCCCCAAGGATGCCGTGGTCCCCTGCTGAGACTTTCCTATGAGGCCATGGTCACAATCACAGCCCCTATCTGGGGTAATGTGTCCCCAGCCATGGCCCTTCTCCAGGACACCTGTGGTCCCCACTTGTGGCTCTTTGTCATCATGCATGCTCTCCCCCCACTGGGACACCCAGTGTCCCCAGCCCCAGGAACACCATTTTATCTCATTTAAAAGTCCCATGAGAGTTCATTCCATGGCATCCCTGGGGTGTGGGCTGATGCTGAATCCGGTGTGCACCTCTTGGACTCCTCATCCATGTCCCCTGGGGTACCTGAGGTCCCCCTGGGCCGGACCCACGGAGGTGACAGTGCCCATCGTCTGAGTGAGGGCACTGATGGAGGGGGATGGGGACTCTGGGGTGTCTCTGCTCACCCTGTATGTTTTGGCTCTGCTCCCGCAGGACTGAGCCCAGCCCCTGGCAAGGCGCTGAGTCCCGTGCTGCTGTGCAAAGTGTGCGGGGACACCAGCAGTGGGAAGCACTATGGCATCTATGCCTGCAACGGCTGCAGCGGCTTCTTCAAGCGCAGCGTCCGCAGGAAGCTCATCTACAGGTGGGGATGGGGAATAGCCAGCTGGCAGGGACCCAGGGAATGGACACCGGGTGGGACAAAGGCTGTGGGTACAGGGGGGACATGGCATTCAGTGGGGCAGGACACACATCAAGGGAGGGTATTCACTGGGACGCAGCACCTGTATGGGACAAGGCACCTATAGGGGATGAGGGCACCCAGAGGGGATGTGCATCTGCAGGGGACAGAACATCCTTGGGGCAAACAAGGCATTTGTTGGGGCAGGACACTCACATGACAATGGACCCATGGAGACAAGGCACCCATTAGGGACAGGATATTTACTGGGGCAGGGCACCCGCTGGCTGAAGGCCACCCAGCAGGGACAAAGCCTCCCTAGCATGGGGCATCCATGGGTCATGGGACACCCCAGGGGAAGAGGGCCATCCCTGTGGGTGCAGCCAGGTACCACCTTTCCCTGCAGGTGCCAGGCAGGGACAGGGCTGTGCCCAGTGGACAAGGCACACCGCAACCAGTGCCAGGCATGCCGGCTCAAGAAGTGCCTACAAGCTGGCATGAACAAGGATGGTGAGCAGGGCAGATGCGCTGGGGAGGGAGGTGGCAGAGTGCGTTGGCTACAGTTGATGTCACCTTGTCACCACAGCTGTGCAGAATGAACGCCAGCCCCGGAGCACAGCCCAGGTCCGGCTAGACAGTATTGAGCTGGATGCCGAGCTGCCCCCAGAGCACGTGGCTGCCACGCGTGATGTCCCCCCAGTTCCCTGCCCGGCCCCCCGTGGCCCCGGGGCTACTGCTGCCACTGCTGCCATCCCCCGCACGCCCACACCGCCCACCAACCACCGCTTCATGGCTAGCCTGATGACGGCCGAGACCTGTGCCAAGCTGGAGCCTGAAGATGGTGGGTGACCGCTGGCGGTGGGGAGGTACGGGGGGCAATGGGGTGATGTTGTGTCCCCATCCCTGCAGTTGATGAGACAGTAGATGTGACGGGTGGTGAGCCTGAGCGGGCAGGCGGTGAGTACCAGGTGGCCCCATACCCAGCAGCTGGTCCCGAAAATGTCTACGAGACCTCGGCACGTCTCCTCTTCATGGCTGTCAAGTGGGCAAAGAACCTGCCTGTCTTCTCCAATCTGCCCTTCCGGGACCAGGTAGGGACCCCAAAAGCTTTAGATTGGGATGGGGTTGGGATGGGGATAGCCTCTCCGTGACTACAGAGCGAACCTTGGGGTGTCCCCAGGATGCCAATTTCTGGCCACGGGCTGAGCTGTGGGTGATGTTCCTCCGCCCAGCCAGGTGGGCTGATGGGTTATGGCTGCCCCCAGGTGATCCTGCTGGAGGAGGCGTGGAGCGAGCTGTTCCTGCTCTGTGCCATCCAGTGGTCCATGCCCCTGGAGAGCTGCCCGCTGCTGGCCATCCCCGAGCCGTCCCCCGGCAAGCTGCTGCCAGCTGCTGTGGACGTGCGGGCACTGCAGGAGACCCTGGGGCGCTTCAAAGCATTGGCAGTCGATCCCACCGAATTTGCCTGCATGAAGGCCGTGGTGCTCTTCAAGCCAGGTGAGAGAGCACACCCAGGTCCTCCGCTGCCTGTCCCCGTGTCACCCCAACACCCGCTGTCCTGGCAGAGACCCGCGGCCTGAAGGACCCTGAGCAAGTGGAGAACCTGCAGGACCAGTCGCAGGTGATGCTGGGCCAGCACAACCGCTCCCACTACCCTGGGCAGCCCGTCAGGTACAGCCAGCCCCAACCCTGGAGGTGCCATTGACAGCGGGCTCTGTGACACCGCTCCATCCTCCAGGTTTGGGAAGCTGCTGCTGCTCCTGCCGGCGCTGCGCTTCCTCTCTTCTGAGCGCGTCGAGCTGCTCTTCTTCCGCCGTACCATCGGCAACACCCCCATGGAGAAGCTGCTCTGCGACATGTTCAAGAACTGACCCTCCCTGTTGTCACCTGGCTGCTGCTCGGTGTCTTCTGGGATACCCCGGCTGTTTGTCCCTCTGTGCTGGCACTCTGTCACCCCCGGCTCTCCTCAGGGTGTGGATGTCCCCAGGCCAGCAGCCAAGTCCTTGGGGTGCTCCCAAGTGGTGCAGGAGGCTGGGTGGCAGGGGGACATCTCCAGGGTGGCACCAGGAGGGCCTCACGGGATGGGCACCTCGATGGGTGCTGCTGTCCCCAACCCAACCCTGAGCATTGCCTGGACATGGTGTCAGCAGCACCCCAAACCAGGGACATGACACCAGCCTGGGGGAGGCACTGGTGGGGGACACGTGGGGACAAGAGCTGTGTCATCCCATCCCAGGGGGCTTGCAGCCAGCCCCGTTTTGTACTCCGAATAAAGAGGGCTTTTGCAGACAGCCTCCTCGTGCCCTTCTCTCACATTCTGGCACTGGGGACACTGGGGACATGGGGCCAGAATAGCCAGCTGAAAATCAGATCTCCAGCTCCAAAAAGAGAGCCAAGAAGTAACAGCCACCTGCAGACCCAAAACCCAGAGGTGATATTATCCCCCTTGGTGGCGCGTCCCCAAGGCGCAACCCCCCACGTGCCCCCAAAGACATCACCCAGCGCTCCTCTTACAGCTCTTTAATAAGCAAGGGCTTCACTCGGCCGCTTCGTACAGCCACACAGAACACGCCGGAGAAATATTACACAGAATTGCACTTTATACAGAACAACGGCCTCGTTGCAGGAAGGAAGGGAGCAACATTAATTAACAAATTAATGAGAACGCGCAGACGCGACGCGACAGCTCGACGGCTGCCCGCGGCGCTGGGCAGAGATAGATCATTCTCCTTTATATAATTACACTTTTTCTTTTTTTTAACTTTTTAAATTTTTTTTTTTAAACAGGGAAAATTCATAGAGAGCGTGACACAGGATAATATATCCTCTTACAATACATACTTCTGTGGGTTTGGTTTTTTTTTTTTTTTTTTTTTTTCCTTTTTAACTTACACTCGGCATTCTTATAAATTACTTTAAAAAAATTTCCATTAAAAATAATAATTAACAACACGCAGCCCACGTCCTTTCCAGTAGTAAGTACATTCACTTGGTACGAGGAGCGGATCGTCGTCCAAAACCAACACCGTGCCCCAGAACGGCCACGTGCGGGCACGGGGAGCAGCAGGGTGCCAGCTTTGTGCTGGGTGGGGACCTGCTAAAACCACCCCAATTTCTGGGGGCTCATCGCTCATTGCTAGTTTAGATCCTGCCAGTGAGAGGGATATATACAAAATTTTATATATATATATATATATTATTACATACATAGAGGGAGGTGATGCGTCAGCTGGATGCGGTGGCCCTGCTGCTCTCGTGGTGCTGGGGGGAGGTGGGTGTGGGATGGGACAGTGCTCTATTGGAGGAGACCTCGTCCTAAAGACTGAGCTTCAAAGGATCGTTTTGGTGGGATTTCTTTAAATAACAAGGCCTTTCCACTAAGCGAGGGGGAGAAGTGGCTCGTCCCAACGCGGGGGGCTGTGTGGGGATGATGCGCTCCCCACATCACCGCGTGGCTTAAATCCAAAGGGAAAACAAAAACAACCACCAAGAACAAAGATTAAAATAATAAAAAGGCAAATAAATAAAATACCCCTTGAAATCACAGGCACTGGGGGCTGGGAACAGGGGGCTGCATCGCCGTGCCCCCAGTCCCAGTAAAACCAACAGAAAACATGCAGGAAGACTCAAGTTATTGGTGTTCTCCATCTTTCTGGAGGTGTTCAGGGAAAGGCGTGGAGCCCAGCCTGCCCAGAACGCCAAGCAGAAAGGGGCAGATGCAGCACCTATGGATCCCATCAGCACCCCCAGGCTCCCAGCCTCTCCCATCCTACAGACAGGCAGCCCCCCGGCTGCAGCAGGAGCCAGCAGCCCCCATCGTTAGCGAGCGCCACTCATTAGTGCTACTGCAGGCAGTGCTTCTGAGCCCTGCTAATTACAGCCCGATGGAGCAGTGGTGGAAGACGCAGTGATGGCCGGGACCCGTGCTGCCCACTGACCCCTCGCCCTGGCACAAAGTCCTTTTTGGGGCAAAATATTTTAAAAAAAAAAACAACAACAAAACACAACCAATAAAAAAAAGTATTTACAATAAACTCCAGTAAACCAGAATATAAACAGAGCTTCAAGTAAGTCCTTGATTATTATTATTTTAATACTGATGGTCTGAAAAAGAAACAAAAATAAAATAAAAAAAAACTACCACGAGAGGAGGGCACACTGGAAATAGGAAAGAACAACCAGAGCTGAGTCCTATTGGCAGATCTCCTTCTCACCGTTCCACGCGCCCTGCAGCTCATGCACACCGTGGTGCGTTCCGGCGTTCTGCTTCCCACTGCCTCCTCCTCCTCCTCCAGCACAGAGGACCCGGCACGGCGGCTCCTTCCCCGACGTCCCTCTGTCTGTCCCTCTGTCCCCGTGCCGGCCGTCCCAACCCCACACCATTGAGGCCACCGCCGAACCCGTCCCCAGCAGCTTCCGCATGGAGCGCTCATTTTGGAGCCCGAGCGGTCGGGCAGTGACGATGATGGCAATGGGGACGTCGTCACCCTGGCGTCTCACACCATGAACTCGTTGCTCCCCAGCAGGACAAGCTGCTGGCCGGCGCTGCGGTCAGCATCGGGGTTCCTTTTGCGGCCCAGCCCCCCTTCTGGCGCCTCTTTGGTTTTTGGGGGGGAGTTCTTCACACTCTTCAGTTTCTGCTTCCCCTTCTCGGGGTTGAAGGTCCCGCGCGTGGTGAACTGCGGCCGCTCGTCGCAGTGGGGCTCGGGGGGCTCGCTCAGGGCCCCCGCTCGGTAGAAGGGCGACTTGGAGTACATCTGGAAGCGCTTGCGAGGCAGGTGGGGCAGGCAGGAGGTGGACGACTGGGAGGAAGAGGAGGATGAGGAGGAGGAGACAAGGGATGGATTCGGCGTGTCCGCCACGTCTGGCCGCGTCCTGGGGTGCCGCCGCAGCCGGCCCGGCCCCTCCGCCTTGTTGGGGCGCAGGGAGCTAAGTGCCACACTTCGCTCTGCAGGACAGGGAGGCAGCAGGTCAGTAATGCGGTCCTCGGAAGCGTCTGGGCTCCCCTTCTCAGCAGGGACATATAAAGCAGGGAGAGAACCCGACCCGACACAGGTGAGATGATCCCACCTCCACCGCATCGCTCGCAAAGACATCCCGTGTCCTGGCAGTGGGAACAACAACCTGAGCACCTGGGACGCTGTGCCCAGAGAAGCGCACACCTCCTCAGCCATTCAAGAGGCAGCATGATCTACAGACCCTGGGTGTTTTAATCATTAATTAACACCAATCTCATTAATCCAACTACATTGCTCTACTCAGAGCTTTGCTGTGGAACAACTGCATTGAAAGCTGTCTGATTGCAGGTTCTACTGACTCACCCGACCGATCGGAGATGGCTCCTTCGGAGTCAAAGTTCAGGTTTTCTGAGCTGTCAGCAGTGCCGATGGAGGCTTCTGACTCGAGTGTTTCATCATCAGAGGCGCGAGGCTCCAGCGTCAGCATCTCGAATGTCAGCTCCTCCCTGCAAAACCCAACTCTGTGACCCAACAGGACCAAAAAAGAGGGGAGGAAAGCAAGAGGGATGCACAGAGTCCTCTAGTTCAACCCATGAGCAGCACATCCACCCCAGAACCAACTGCCATCACGCCATCCCCACGTTGAACCTCTAGATGCAAGGCGTGGAAGTGAGCCAAGCTTGAATTCAAAGGCAAACTCACTTCTCCTTCTGCAGGCTTTCGATCTGCTCGGTCAGCACCCTCTCCTCCTGCTGCATGGCTGCTTGCTGCTGCTCTGTCACATCCAGCTCCATGGCCTCCTCGCTGCTCACGGTCTCCTCGGGGACGTCAGACACCGAGGGCAGGCGCACGGCCACAGGGGACGTAGGGCTGGGGAAGGTGCCGCGCCGCACGCGGCCTTTGCCCTGAAGAGAAACATCAGAGTCAAGCGAGGATTATTTTGCACAGCCCATTTTTGGGGGACTCCTCCTCCCTGGCACAAAGGGATGCAATGGGATGATGTGACACAACGGCAGGTTTGAGAGGAGGAGGGTCTGCTAAGCAGGTGGGGGAAAGCGCTGCAAAAAAAACGGTGAGGAATAGCTGGGGGACAGCAAAAAAACTAATGGTCAAATAGAAGAGTCCTGCACGTTTAGTAGTATTAAAACTTCTGATTATGAAAAAGGTCTTAGATGGGAGTATCATAGATGGAGAAATATTGTGAGTGCAAATGGCCTCTGCTTTACCTTCAGAGGAGCTGCTCCACAGGGTGGAAGAGAAATAGTGATTTTTGGACACAAAGGATGCTGAGGAGTAGTGCGCTTTGTGGGCACGCCATGGCCATTAAAAAGCTTTTACCCTAACTGTTGCTGTAACGGAACACAATCTCCTGAAGTCAGGATCCTGAACTGGTCAGAGAGTGAAAGACGAGTGGGACAACATAAAGTGCAACATGGAAAACCCAGCACTTGCCTTTGCTCCACCTACAGGCTGCCCTCAAACAATCATTGTGTTTCTTGGTGAAACTGAATCCCCTTCCTGCTGCACTTTGCCTCATTCATCAGCTCACAAACAGCTTTTCTTCCCACGGGGCTACTTCAACACTGTAGCTGAGGTACCTCTTGGTCTTCCTCATAACCCACATACCCAGAACATGGGAGAAAAGCCTCCCTTTTTCACTTTGAAAGCAAAAAGCTATCAGGAATGCAAGCAGGGATCTTTTCTCGAATGGCAAAGCAAACCTATGCTGGCATCAATGGGACACAGCCCAAGTGGGAGGCAACACTGAGCACTGCTTCCTCCTGCAAGGTCTGTTAAATCCTCCAGCCCGGACAAACGCTGCTGCTCAGCACTGAGACGTGAGATTTGCTCCATTTTACCCTTTCATCTCCTGCTGTCGCACCTGGGAGATCTTTCACAAAGGAGCTTCCGCGCAACGCAGCAACGTTCCTCTGATGGCATCACGTGGGCTGCTGAGCCGAGGCACAGCCACCTGAATCCTATTAGCAAAAAACCCTGAGCTCCCAAAGATCCCCTGTGCCTCGTGTACTGCTCTCCCTGCCTATGGGGCGCTCAGCAGCGAGCGGATGCTGCAGTGACGACATCCACGTGGGCTTTCAGCAAAGCCCTCTCCTCTCCCAGCTGCTGCAAGCGGAAAATTCCCCGGTGGGTCAGATGTGGGTTTGCTCACAGTGCTTGCGTGTCCAATGCTGGCTGGAACGAGCAGGGCGACAACACTTTCTGATGGTAAGAGCAGGGTTTGCTCTAAAAGAAGGAGCTTTCATGGTCCTATGTTTGGTCTCACTGGGCATTGTGCTGCTGCAGGGCTGCCGGGTTCCCACATCCATCCTGGGCTACCCTGTCCATCAGGGTACAGCAGCCAGGCTGCCCAGAGCCCTTCAGTAGATGCCATATGATCACTACGGGATTCACCCACCGCAGCCAAAGCAACGGCTTCACAGTGCCTAAACACAACCCCAGCAGGAATCGTGGATGGGAGCAATGAATCAAGGAAAACAAAAGTGAGGAGGGCACAGAACGGAAAAAGAAAATGCAGAAGTGATGGTGAAAGCCACTTCTCACAGAGCTGCATGCAGGGGCGAAGGCACAAGCCCGGCACAGTTTGGCTGCTGCTGCTCCTGGGGGTCCCAGAGAGCCACCTGCAGGGGGACAAGACGGGCAGTGTCACAGACGATGGCCGGTGGCATGGGGCTGGAATGAGCGGCGGTCACACAGAACGGAGGGACACGGCTGGCACAGAGCGCCGTGCAGTGAATACATACCGGGATTGAACTGCGGGTTATGCTCATAAATCTAACTGCAATTAGTACGGGTTTCTGGATTAGAGAGGACATGAAAAGGAAAGCAGAAGGTTAGAGTGCACATGCCATCGTCCCTCCAAAAGAACTGTTTCTTCACTTCTGTCTTGTTTTAAACCAGGACGAGCGAGGCGGCTCTC